GACTGGAACAATTGAACAACATCAGTCAGGTTTAAAATCTGACCACAGATTGCTTTAGCTGGGTTTCTGTTTACTGGGATACTTCATTCCTTTACACTTCAATTTGAATAATCATTTGTTAAATGTCCATTATTACAAGCAGAATTGCATGTGGGTAGAGATCCAGCCTCAGATTAAAGAAGACCTGAGTTCAAGTATTGCCTATGTCACATGTTGGTGATATGATCCTAAAAAAAAAAAAAACATTCAAATGCCTAGTGCTCTGGCCAGCTCTCTAAAACCATAAGTTGCAAAAGAGGTATCTAGCTGTGTTGGGAGAAATAGTTCCCTCATCAAGTACTTCCCTACATCCAGGAAATCATTCTCCCTCCAAATTCTAATTTTTCACTATGATAAGGAGATGATCCAGGGACCTTGAAACCTATGTCAATGGTACAAAGGCTCTACTATATTCTATCTACCATGTTATAAGGCTTTGGGTACAGGCCCAGTGACAGACTTTGCAGTCTAAGGACCTGCCTAGGTAAGCGCTGCAGGGCTGATTAACAGAATGTTGGCTATAAAGTGGCACATTTCTGTAGTGATCTATGAACCAAACAAAACTATTAAATAGCTCTTAAATCTGTGCAGCCATCTTTTCCTCCTATAATATCAGTGCCGGAATGGCAAAAAGTGGCCAGAGAGTACATATAATATCACACTTTTTTTAATTTATATTGGCATGTTTGTTCAATGGGCAGTAGGTTGGCATGTCATTGCCACAGCAGACCTATACCCTTTCTTGTTATAAATGAAGAAGAAAAGTTGCAAAAAAGAAGTTGCTGCTAAATAGAAGATTGATTCTCAAGTTCTCCTCTGAGAGGCAAATAAAAGAGTCACAGGAGAAACAGGAAAGCTTTGGAGTTGAAAGGGAATCTCAGAAGCCATCCAATCTAAGCCGTTTCATTTTCTAGATAAGAAAACCGAGGTCTAGAGAAGATAAGTGACTCTCCTAAGGTTACCTAGGTAATAAAAAGTATCAGCAGCAAGATTTAAACCATCTTCCAGACTTCCATGACAGTGGCATTTCCACAGTGCTACTTGTGCCCAAAAGGAAAGAGGAACATTATGTCATGAAACTTTTGTTCATACCACTTTGAGATGTTTATGATGAATATAAGCAAACAGACACCCTTGAAGATAATTGTGGTTTAATACACAAACATCTGTTGAGAAGAGGAAGAAGCAGCAATGCTCCACAAAGATCTTGAAATGGTCCTCCATATTAAGTCTACATATACTTTAATACTTGATGACGTCATTGTAAAAGCAAGTGCAGTGAAAGACATAAAAACCAAGTCTGGAAATGATGATTCAAGATCAAGAAAGGAAAGCGGCTGACAGATACTCAAAATCCTTGCCCTTCTACATCATGAAGTTGATTCTTCAAGAAGAGGTTTGGAGGATGATGGACCTGATGAGCACTGAACATCATCATTGTCATCATCGTCGCTGTTGTCATTGTCTTCTAATATGAAAAAAATGGCCATCTATAGACGTGAAGACCCTTTGAATCTGTTTGCTAAAGAAAGAGGGTTTTGCATTCTAGACTATTGATATGAGAAGAAAGATGAAAAATAAAGCGAAGGATAGTAAGGTGATAAGGGTAATAGCCAAAACAATTTTGTCACCTATAATTATTAAACCTAAAATCATTTTCAAAAACCAGGAAGGGGGGGGCAAATTAAAAGAGTGTTCTATGATTTTACTTAACCATTCTGAAGATCAACTTACAGGAAAGGATAGAAACCACTGGAAGTATCCTCTTTGCTCCCCTTCCTCAAGTGAATATTGCAGTCACTTTCTAAATTAGCCACAGTCAGGCAGTACACATTAACCCAATTATTTTGATATTTTAAGAGATGGAGTTTTATGGTCCCTGGATTATCTAGATAATTGAAATAGATCTCTACTTCAATTTGTCTGGGAGGAAAACGTAGCCTCCATGTGAGGTCAATGTGATGACTTTCTATAAAGCATTTCAAGCTATTGCATACTAAGAATTGCTTTCCAATGAGAAAATCATTTTAAAATCCCCAGAGGGAGGCTTGAATAGTCATGATCCCTGGAAATAGTATTCACTGCCTGGATCTTATCTGATTCACATTTAGCCTGCACAATGAGTGAGAATATTCTGACTTTGGCTCCGTCCCCATCTGGGACATGGATCTTGAAGAGCTGTAGGTAGTTTGGACTGTTTAAATAGAACAGAACAAACCCAAAGGCTGTAGGTTTCTGTCTCATTAGTTTAAAAAAAAAGTATTTTCTATACAGTATATCAGAAGGCAAATCCTATATTCAACGATTAAATATGGGAATGAACCATTGGTAGCTTCTCAGAATTCCATTCTAATATTTATATTTTATCTATTAAAATTTACAAGGAAATTTACTGGCACAAAACCTCCAGGATAAATACATAGAAAGGAGAAGAGAGAGGAAAAAAGACTTTTGGTTGAAAAATATAACAAATTTTACTGGGAATAACAATAGCACCTAAATCGCAGGGTTGTTGTAGGGGTCCAAATGAGATAATGTACATAAAGTACTTGGTAAACCTTAAAGCCCTACATAAATGCCAGCTATTGTTATCATTATTAATATAGCTCAAGTTAATAATCTACACTTATTCAATTCAATTTAACATTTATTAACTACTATGGGAAATGCACAGTACTAAGGCATCCAAAAAGATACAAAAATACACAATACACACTTTTTCTAGGAAATCAACTATGTGCACAAACAATTCAGATAGAAAAATTTTAAATTATAGGTATAAAAACTTGGCTCAGCATAGCCTCTTTTAATGATCGTAAAATTATTTCAGTTGCCTAGTGCTGCAAAGCCAGATCTTGGTCAGGAAATCAGGACTTGGTGACAGGGAGGAAAACCTGGGTGAAACTGAGGTGCAGAAGAAAAGCATTAACTTGTATGTAAGAGATTCAGCAATAGCAGTGGCATGTGTGTGTATGTGTATGTCTGTGTTTGTGTGTGTTGGGGGAAGGAGGGATGAAACACAGTGAGACGAGCCAAGCAAGTATCAATAGTCATATAAACGTAAGAAATCAGTAGGATTTGTAGGTGTTTCGCAAAACTGGCAGCTAGAGTTAACAGTTTAAACAATCATCTTGTGCTGTGAGCAACCAGCTATTTCAGGCCTGCTCTGCCTACCCAGCAATGACCTGCCAAGAAGTCTCAGCTGGTGTTGACAACAAATGGTAAGAAAAATGCAAAGTCTTGGGAGAGTTCTAAGGAAGAAATGGTCATTTCTCATGGAATTTCTCACCTAGCATATCAGGTTCAAGGAAGCTAGAAAAAAATGGTTAAAAAAGATGTCACCATAAGTGGTTTCTTTCATTAGGATGCTGAATATTTTTTAGAAGCTCAGTTTGGTTACTTTGAGTTACTAGAAATGAGCAAACTGATAAATTATAATGGAAGTAATAGGTCAAAAACATGATACTTCTACATAGGACCAAGGAATGTACACAACTCAAGATTCTTCCAGTAAGAAGTTGATCCTTTGGGGAAAACAATGAGGGGAAAATCCACACCAACCTAAAGTCAACTTTCTGACCCCTTGAGCAAATAAAGTATAAATGTCAAAGGTCCAAACTGTTAAAAGTTGAACTCCTCATCTCAATATTTGATTTGTTTGCTATGTGCTATTACTCTGAAAAACTCATGATTATTTCTTAATGTTTTCCTTTGCTCCTGCTCTGCATGTACGTGTATGTGTATGTGTGTGAATTATGAAAGACATAACACTTCTACATAGCACTGAAGAATTCACAGATCCAGATTCTTCCAATAATAAACTGATTTCTTTCGGGGAAAAAAATGAAGGAAAATTCCATACCATGATGTATATATCATGCTAAGTAAACTAATTCCCCTACTTTGTTTTTAGAATCTGGTTACTTCATTTCTCATATTGTGAGAAATATTTGAGCTTTTTGCTGTGGTAATGAAGAAGAAAGCAGCATTATTTGATGAAAGGAGAGGAGAGCAAGAAAGCAATAAAGAGGCCAAATGCACACAAGATGACACAGGAGAATAAAAGAGAAATGAGATATCTTAAATTGCCTGGGAGATGAAAGTCTACATTTACTGCCACATACCACTGGTTATAAATATATTGACTATACAGATTTTATTAAAAATCACTTCTTTAGTCTCACAATAAATACTTTGGATTTCTGTCGTTGTTGTTACTGTTGTTGTTTCCTTAGACCTCAGTATTTTTTAAGGATGAGGTTTTTTTTCCTTAAACTCCTTCCTGGATGATACTACATAGTTCCAGTCAAGTCATTACATTTTCACCTTTTAGCATCTCCTGGCAATCTAATACACTGTTATGCACTTTATAAAGCCACAAGTTTTCTTGATTATTCTGTACTGTTCTGTTTAGACTTCTTTATGCTGCAAAAATCTAACATCTGTTTCAGGTACTCTAGAAAGGAAATTGCATAGAATTCTATTTTAGGGATGTCCTTCTCAGGAAATAGATATTTGCTAATGGAAAAACCACAGAATCATTGAGGACTTTTTGACCTTTTATAGTGGTGGTCAGTGGTCAATGGAATGGCAAAGAATGAGAAAGAAATGCTTACTATTGAAGAGTATTTTCTGAATCAAGCACATTAGAAGAGACAGGTGCTGAGTTAGCATGAGTATTCTTTTTTTAATTTGTCCAGAAAGCACAACAAATTATTTTCAAGTCTTCTCAGCATAAAGTCAACTTTGTACCCCTCAAGCAATGAAAACATAAATGTCCAAAGACAAAAATGATAAAATGTAAACTCCCCATCTCAAAGCTCCATGTGCTTGTCATGTGTGATATTTCTATGAAAAACTTATGACTGTATCTGGACATTTTCCTTTTGTTCCTAGTCTGTATGTGAGTGTGAATTGTTGGCCATGTCCATGAAATGTATTTATGTTTCTTCTAATTTCAGCATGTGGCAAGTTGATGAAAATCACAGGTCCTATTACAGTCAAGACATCTGGAACCCGATTTGGAGCTTGGATGACAGATCCTTTAGCATCAGAAAAAAATAACCGAGTATGTTGTTGTCCCCAATGCCTTTGCCCTTCTTTAAAGTTACAAGGATATAAGCTTTCTTTGGGGGTATACAGTTCATCTTAGAAATATATTGCTTCTTTCACATATTTCGCTTAATTCATGATACTAGCCACTCCAGTGGAGAATGTCATAATTACTGTGGTACAGCATTCCTCCCTACAAATCTTCAATCTCATTGAATTTAGTTTTCTTTAGTCTTATTTGCATGAAAAATCCTGGGAAACAATTCATTAAAATTATATAGATTCTTTATATTTGTATTTCTAAAATGTATTCATTGAAGGGAAGATTGCCTGATGCAGTGGAGAGTAAGATGGAGTCACGATCTAGATTCAAAACCTGCCTCTGCACTTGCTTCAGACAAGTTATTGGGACCTCAATTTCCCTATCTATAAAATGAAGAGGTTGGACTGGATGACTTCTAAGGTCTCTTTCAGCTTTTTATCTCTTATACAATTCTACAAGCTCCTATGAACTTACACAGTGAAGAAATAACAAGACAGTAGATGATGGCAACTCAACAAGTAAGAAAAGGGGATACAGTGAGAAGAGTGATAAAGGTGGAATCAGAGTGTCTGGGTACGAATAATGGCTCTACCACTCACTATCTGAATGACCTGGACCAAGTCATTCAAGATCAATACACCTGTGTTTTCTCACCTATAAAATTAGAGGGCTGGACTAGCTTACCTCTAAGGTGCCTTCCAGCTCTAAAGGTATGATAAGATCCCAGGTGAAATGCTCCATGTGAAGCCTTGAGGTAGCATTGAAAATCTTCTTGTTTTTCCCTTTGATATTTTCATGAATTGGGAATGGCAAACCACTGCATTGCAACTTTGGAAAAACGCTATCTGGATTTCCAAATTCAGTGTAATTTAACCTTTTGGGGAACCCGACCTGAGGTGTTTTGGTTACTGAAGTAAAAGGTAAAAAAAGAAGTCCTTATGAGGCATTTTCTCATAAGAAACTCATCCCATGAACCATAAAGTTAGTGTTAGAGTGATGCTTCAATGCATTCATAATCCAAAGGCAAATAAGATACTTGAAAAATAGTCCTTAGACCATGAAATCTTAGATCTTTCTGTAAAATGTAAATTCTTGCTCCAGATGAGGAGATAGAGTAAATATAAATCACTCAAGGTAATTTTTCCCCATAATCATCAGCAACTATGTCAATGCATTTGAATTATGCAAGTGAAAATGATCACCTCCGGTATTTTGGATATAATTTTATAAGCAAGGCTATGAGTCAGAGGATGTGGGTTCAAGTTATATCTCTTCCATGTATTGCTTGTGTGACTGTAAATGAATCAGTCTCCAAGACCTCACATTCCTTATCTGGAAAATAAATGGGCTAGACCGGGAGTGGGGAACCTCTGGCCTCAAGGCCACATGTGGCCCTCTAAGTCTTCAAGGGTGGCCCTTTGAATGAATCCAACCTTCACAGAACAAATTCCCTTAATACAAGGATTAGTTCCGTAAAACTTGGACTCAGTCTAAAGGCTGTACCCAGGGACCTAGAAGGCCACATGTGGCCCTGAAGCCACAGGTTTCCCACCCCAGGCTAGACTATGTGATCCCTGAGGTCCTTTCCAGCCCTAGTCTACTATCATAATATCAATACAATGAGCTATGTGAAATGACAATAAAAAAGGAGAGAAATTTTTACTATCAACCAATCAATTCGAACGAGATATTTGCAAAAACAATTAGCACAGTATCTGACACATGGTAGGTACTTAATAAATGCTTGTTCCCCTTCCCAGCACTTATTTAGGGATAGTGAAAATGTCTGCAAATGCTTTAGACCCTTCTTTTAATTCTATTTTTCTGAAGAGGGTCAAGAATTGTAATTTCATTGGCATAGGAAAAACAAATCTCTATACCAGTGCAGATCATCAGCTGTTTCTTAGAGATTTGACAGATGCTAAAAGGTCATACCCAGGGTCACATAACCAGAATGTTTCATAGGCAGGACTTGAATCCAGGTCTTCCTGACTCTGATGCTGACTATCTACTAAGGTATAATATCTCTCAGATCCTTCTTACAACATAATAATTAAATTGAATGATTTCAATAAATTTTATTAAGCATCTACTGTCTAGACAGCAAAGCTGAATACCAAGAATACACTAAATTAAAATACTTCTTGCCCTCTAGGAGCATATATTCTACCAGGGGAAAATAAAATAATAGATCAAAGCAGGAAAATAATTAAGTTTTCAAAATCTTTAGATAGATAGTTATAGATATACATACATACATATACATATAAACATACATATACATATATATAAATCTGTGTTAATATCTTCTGATTTTCATGTTTTTAGATTCTGTGATGGGTATACAAGTAAGTTGAGTTATTTTTTTTTATTCTCCCCAGGTCTGGTACATGGATAGTTACACTAACAATAAGATTGTTCGTGAATATAAATCGATGGCAGACTTTGTCAGTGGAGCTGAATCAAGGACATATAATCTCCCTTTCAAATGGGCAGGGACTAACCATGTAGTCTACAATGGCTCCCTCTATTTTAACAAGTATCAGAGTAATATCATCATCAAGTACAGTTTTGACACAGGGAGAGTACTGGCCCAGCGGAGCCTGGAGTATGCTGGCTTTCATAATGTCTACCCTTACACCTGGGGTGGCTTCTCTGACATTGATCTGATGGCTGATGAGATTGGACTGTGGGCAGTATACGCAACCAACCAGAATGCAGGCAACATCGTCATCAGCCAGCTTAATCAAGATACCTTGGAGGTGATGAAGAGCTGGAGTACTGGCTATCCAAAGAGGAGCGCTGGAGAATCCTTCATGATCTGTGGGACCCTATATGTCACCAACTCCCATTTAACTGGAGCCAAGGTTTATTACTCTTATTCCACCAAAACCTCCACATATGAGTACACAGACATCCCCTTCCATAATCAATACTTTCATATATCCATGCTTGACTACAACGCAAGAGATAGAGCTCTGTATGCCTGGAACAATGGACATCAGGTCCTGTTCAATGTCACTCTTTTCCACATCATTAAGACAGAGGATGACACATAAGTGTTGTTTTATTTTTATTTTATTTTATTTTTAATTTTTCCAATTCTCTTAGTGTCATTTGTGATAAACTCTAAAGCATCTCATGTTTTTTTTTCCTGTAGTATGTTTTTTTTCATCATTTGCCAAAAAGCATTTTATACTATAGAGTGTATCCCCCCCCAAAAAAAAAAACACCCAAGACTGTCCTAAGATGACCCGTTGGAAATGCATCTTAATTATTGGATCTGCAAGGCCTATTATGACCTTGTGTAAAAAGCACTAAAGAGAGTGTGAGTGACTAAAGTCATAGTTTTCAAAAGATTGATGATTTGCCTTATCTTTGAGTCAGAGACTAATGGTGGCTTAAATGCATGAATGTCCTTTTTTAACTTCTGTCCTTTTTTTAATCTGTCAACTTGTTGCTCCACATCAGGAAATATTTTGGTAGTAATTGAAACTAAAAAAAGTACTTTCCCCCATTTATTTCTTAAAAGACAAAAAAAAATCAAGGATCTGGTTTACTTGGGAAAATTAATGTCCGTCATTTTGCTGTTACCTAATTCTCTGATGCGGTGCTGTAAAGTACATTTTTAAATCTCTTGCTAACATTTTACTGGCAACATGTATTTCTACCATTGTAACCACCATTGTGCAATTGTATCTCTTCACTTCTGTGAAAGTAAAGTAAGTACTATTTTTTATAAAATACATTGAAGTTGAATCTCAGTAATGACTATGGATGCGTTTGGAAGTATAGTCAAGAAGGGATTATGTTCTCAGCTTGGTCCCTTCCTGCAAGCATTGTAAACCTCAGAAAGACAATGGGAAAAAGGCTCTTTCCATTAATTCCTTTCAAATGGATTCAAGAAGCATCACCTAATTCTGTAGCACATGCAAGGCACTGTACTAAGGATAAAAAGGCAAAAGTGAAAACCCGCCCTTACCCTCAAGAACTTACATCCTACTGGAGGAATACATGATATACACAGATAAAACAAAAGATAATCTCAAAGCAGGAATTTTACCCTCCAGGTGTATAATGGAGCACTGACAAGTAAGAATGACAAAAATAGCCCAGTATAGCTGGTTTGATGCAATAGTTATTGTCTACCAGTCATTTTAGTTGTCTACAGAATCTGCTGAGTCCCCAAAGCATATACTGGAGTTAATCTTCCCATATATCAGGCAAACAGGAAAGTTTACACTTCGTGGTCAAATATTTTACTCCTTAATTGACTGTTAACAAGCAGGAGCAAGAGGGTAAGTATACATACCCGGATTCTCATACTGCAGGATAAACGTAACACGATTGTCAATACAGATTTCTCAAAATATTCTCAAGAAACATTATAAGCATTGGGAAAACATGCAGTAGGTCTATACAACAAAACAAAAATTGAAGTCTTGCTTATTATCTGGGTTTCCAATAGAAAGTGGGGAGTACTGTAGCATCTGCTTGTCTTATATAAGCCATTATCTTTGCTAAATGAATTTACCCCTCTCGGGAGAAAAACTTCAGTGCTATTTTCCTATGCTAAAACTCAGAACTTGCAATTAATGTAAACAGACAGATAATTATATTTTAACCGTAATTCTACAAAGTGAAAGACCATAGAATCACAGAAATTTGGAAGTAGCAGGGACCTTTGGGCCCATTTTACCCAGTTCACATCTGAATAAGAATCTCTGCTCTAACACATCTGATAGGTGGATGATCTACCTTTTGGGGGAAGTGGCTACTTTTGAACGAAGGTCATTTATTCCACTTGGTGATAGATTTAATTGTGAGGATCCTCTTTCAATCTCCACATATTACTCCTAGTTTGGCCTTCTGGGATCAAGTAGAAAAAGTCTAATCTTCTCTCTAGGTGACAGCCCTTCAGATACTTTAAGAGAGCTACCATGCCTCCCTGTAACCATTACCCATTTTCAAAAATATGGTTTGGGGCAGGGGGCAGCTAGGTTGCTCAGTGGATAGAGCATCAGCCCTGGAGTCAGGAGGACTTGAGTTCAAATCTGGTCTCAGACCAGATACTTACTTAATTCACTTAAACCTAATTGCCTAGGAAAAAAAAAAGACTATTTGTGAATTAAATATATACTGAAGGAAGCTACATTCATTTGGGGGCTGCTAGGTAGTACAGTATATAGAGCACCGGCCCTGGAGTCAGGAGGACCTGAGTTCAAATCTGGCCTCAGACACTTGACACTTACTAGCTGTGTGACCCTGGGCAAGTTGCTTAACCCCATTGCCTAGCCCTCCATTCTTCCCCAAAAAAGATACAGTTTTGGGAAACTGACATATATTACCAATGACAAACACAAGGGATTTAGTTTGGTGTTTTGTAATTTAAAAAAATATACACACATCCATATGCACATATGTGTATATGTATATGAATATGGATGGTATATATACATATTATACATATACATATATACACATATATTATGTATAAACAATATGCTATATTCAGATAAATATAATGCCATATTTATGCTAACAAATAGTGCAAATCCTGCAAAGTACTGAAAACACAAATGTTAATGTTTAGAGTTAAGCTCTCAAACTAAAGTCAAATTCATCAGGAAAAATCATCATTTACTGACATTCTGACATTGGAAATCGTAGGTGTAAATCTTTCTGCTTATATTCAACTGGTTTTTCATTCATTAATGAAGATTGTATCCATACTTACATGAAGGTAACATAAATTTCAGTAAATGGTCTGTAGTTTTCAATTTGGGGAAATTGTGATTGCTTGTATTTGGAAAAAAAAAGCTGTCTTTTCTCTCTATACTAGAGAAGAGCAGTGACTTCTCTTGCAAAAGATTTATCCTTAATAGTATGGGTTACTCTGGTAGCAAGACTTGAAAAATCCAGGAAGATTCCAACAACCAAGGCATTTATATTTAGCCCAACAAAAAAAATCATCAGATATGGATGACTTGGGATAGCAAGTCTTTGTATGAGGAAAGAAGAAAGCTGCATCACTTCTGAAACAAAAGCTTTCTAAGTGGGTGGCTTCAATTAGATACATGATTCTTCATTTCCTTTTCCGGAATTGCTATCATGTGGTACATTCAACCCCAAGATGATGGCAGTTTATTTGCCAGGTGCACAGTTCTTAAAACACTTTACGATCTCAATTTAAATTTCTTCATTGTTAACATTGAGTGGGGATAACATGAGCTTTTGTGTGATTTGTATTAAGCATAAATAGAAATTCATTTTTTTCTTCAATGATTATCATGTTAGTATCTGAGATAAAAAACAACTTACTCAAAAACCTGGTACTCTCAAACTTTCAACTAAGCGTACACGCTTTATAGAGACTGATTTCCCATTTCTGAAAGTTGAGCTGATGAAAATGGATATTTAACAATACCGAACATTTATATGACACTTTAAGGTTTGTAAAGCATTTTACATGTATCTTCAGATGGATAGGTAGATTACTTCATTTGATCTTCCCAATAACTCTGTATATTATCCCCATTTTATAGCTGAGAGAGATTATGTGACTTGCTCATGGCCTACCTAGCCAATATAAGTTAGGATTTGAGCACCAGTCTTCCTGACTCCAAGTTCAGGATTTGAACTACTGTGCTACACTAATCAGTATAACAGCAACACCAGGTAATTCATAGCCTACAATGAATCCTTTTTAACTCTCTCCCCACTGATGTCCCTGTTGATAAAAATCAAATTTCCTACATAATTAGCAAATATCTAAATCAGACGAAGTATGTAGCCATAGCCTAGGAAACAATAACAGTCACTATTTAACAAGTGATCATTTAAAACTGTATCTATATTCCTATTATTGACTAGATCTATGGTATAAAATTCAAATAGAAATGAGGGCCACTAGACCATGTAAAAGGATCACTGTGGACCACATATTGACTTATAAAACCACATATTAACATTATTTATGTCCTGTTACATTTTTGTTAGTTTGTTAAATATTTCCCAATTACATTTTTAGCTCTCAAGTGTTATGGGCAATGCAGGCTTGCACATTTGATATCTCTGTCTGTGTAAAGGACTCTTGGATGAGGAAACCTCTTTTATTAATTTAGGTTGATACCTTCTCTGCAACTTACAGTCTAGAGAATTACCCAGAGCAATGTAAGGTTGAATGACTTGCCTGGGGTTCCATAGTCAATATGTGTCAGAGGCAGTAATTGAACTGACTCCACAAGGCTGGTTCTCTGTCTTATCTTGTCATTCATATAATACTTCAAAGTGTGCAAAGCATGTTAAATATAGGATTCATTTTAAGGTTTGTAACAACCTTGTGAGATAGGCACTGAAGTTTTTATTCCTATGTTATAGTTGAGAAAACTGAGTTTCACAAAGGTCATGTGTTTTGCCCAAGGTCCCATAATGATTAAGAGCAAGAGGTAGGGATTAAAACCTGTCTTCTTTCTTCCAATTCTAACAGTGCCTCCCGAGAGACAATGGAATAATGATGCTGATGACAATTTTGTGTTTGGTGGCTTACCAGTTCACACAAAAAGATATCTGTGAAATAGGTTTTCATCTTGAAATGTATTCTCAACATGTAGACCAAAATGCAAATAAAACGGTAATTACTTAGAAGTAATATGAGAAGAGATAAAGAAATTAAAATAACCTAAGACATTTTATACAGAAGTTCATACTTATCTATATAAGTCAATCGGTTCATTTAATCAGGTAGCATCCAATTTCTCTTAATTATAATATCAATGACATCCTTGATGATGAATACATATTTTTTAGAAATAAAGGGGAAAGATGACAATGTCTTTCTAGTTCCCTTTCCCAGAGGCAGCAATAGAGATCTGACCTAGTAGCCAGAAATATTTTGGTTCAAGGTCCTCATTTGTCAAATACTATCTTTGTGACCTTGAGAAAATGGAATCACTACTCAGTGCTACTGGCAACTCTTTAAGCCTGTAAGCTGCAGAGATGACACCCAGTACAGGGCCTCATCTTGTCTAAGAGTTCCCTGTAACAATGAAATCAGATTTCCAATCTTCATTCTTTCTTTCCTACTAAGTAAAAATTCTACATTCCTGAAAGTCATAAGTAACCACCTAACTTACAAAAGAAGTTTATTAAAATAGAAATAGATGATCTAACCAGAAGATTCTTTCATAATTTAAAAATGTTAGCTTGAAGCTTTTTTATCTTCCCTCAAAATAAATAGTTTTAATAAAGGTTAATTTGACACTAACTATTAATAGTAACAGCTGGTAATAGGTAGCATTCATTATCGCTTTATAAATTGCAAAGCACTTTTTATATGCCAACTCATTTAATACTCACAAACACCCTGTAATACAGATGCTATTTATTATCCCCATTTTCCTGATAAATAAACAATGAGGTTAATTAAGTAGCTTTCCCAAGGTCGCATAGTCAATGCACGAGTAGGTATTTGAATTCAAGTTTTCCTGATTGAAAACCCTATTTTGTGTCCATTCCATTACCTCACTGCCTACTAAAATCCCTTAGTTTTTTCAACTTTGAAATCTAGGTTTTAAAATAAAGCTTCCCTGGCCTCCTTGTAAAACAAAAATATCAAATCATCTTTTCAAGAACCATAACATCAATGTTGTTGGTGGCAAACTGAAACTCTGTCACTCGAGGGAGACCCACCCTGGGAAAGAATTCCAACCTGTCTGCTTATGACCTGGATATTCTTGAAATCAGAACATCTAAAGGTGATATTCAAATGACTTCGGGGGGGGGGCAGTGTTTCATTCATTCTCATAGTTAACTATACATCTAATATTCCTAAGACGTGTTTTAATAGCACTATCATAGACTGAATTCATTTCATCTTCTCTATCATAGCCAGGTAAGCAGACCATGGAAAGAGCTACAGAGGGGAGTCTCCTGGAACTCTGGATATTCTGAATTCTATATGATAATCTATTAAAAATATGGTGAGACAAGCTGATGCAATGTGTTAATCATTGGCTGCTTACATTGGGGAATATTCATTTCCATAGAGACCTAGAGGCACTGAATGTCATTTAGTTCAATAGGCTATGTCCAACAATGAGAACAAGTTTGTGGGGTGATCGCTTCTCTGCATCCAGCTTAAATTTGGTAGGTAATAATTTCTTATGGTCAGTAACTACTCAAAATATGTTTGGGACTCAACAAAATGAGGTGTCCTGAATTAATGTGTACTCTATTTAGGCAAGTACAGTATGATATAAACCTTAAACATGGGGTAAAACAAAAAAAACCTTCTCTAGTGTTTGTGGTAGGTAAAAGATGAAACAACTAAGGAAACAAAGGTTCAAACTTCTGAGGATATTGATTTATCAAGTAATACATAGCAACTGCCTAAACAAAACAAAGTGGGACCAGGCCCCTTCTTCAGCTTAGGGCTAGACCCTGAATACAAGAGGGCACCGATTTTATACATTAAAAATAATTAATCAGATAAGGTCAATTAATTAGGAAACAATACAAGATTTGGTAATATGATTTCTAATTGGATGAAAGATTAGGGACTTTCCAAGTTGGAAGGGTGAGAACAAACAGGTATAATTCCCTGAATTCAGAAAAAAGAGGTGTCTCATTCACCCCAAGTGTCTATAAACAATCAAAGCAACGTGGAAATAGTAACTAATTTATCAGCATAGAGACAGTTTTCAGATAAGACATATGAATTGCTTGAGGTACACAATTGTGAGAAAACTCCTTGCATCAATCTTTGGATCTGACCAGGTTTCTGGTCAGCATAACCTAAGTCTTTGGTTAAGGGTGTCTAAGAAGCAGGTAGAGGTGGTCCAGCTTCCTACCTATGCAGGGCTAGGTTTAAACAATGCAATAAAGTTTTCTCCCAATTCCCATAATTGAATAAAGTTTTCTCACAAGATAGAAGTTGAACTATACCCATAATTGAATAGAAAGGGAATTGAGCTACATGCAGAATTGAGTCACAAGATGGAGTCAGTGTGCTAAACTCAATTCCCATAATTAACTATTTCATGTCCTAATCCCCTCAATTCCCTCATGTCCAAAGTTAGAGACAGTAAGGAATGATGGTGCTATGCTGGACTAAGGGAGACTAGGGGTCAATTCCCACCTCTGACACTTACTGAGAAAATCATACAACTTCTCTGTACCTCAGGCAACATTCTAGGCCACACCCATGTGTGTGTGGGGTGGGTGTGGGTGTGTGGGTATATGTGTATGTGTGAGGACCCCTTTGGAAGTCTGGTGAGGACAATGAACTGCTTCATAAAATAATGTTTTAAATACATAAAATACATAAGATTATAAAGTAAAGGAATTTTATTGAAGTAGAGTTATCAAAATAATAATAAGAATAATTTAAAAATAAGAATAAGTTCACAGCCCCCACCCCCAGTTAGGAACACCTGCCCTAGTTCTTATTTACTAAATCATAAATGAGTTGTGTTCTGCTTTGGTAGAGGGCGTTACCACAAGAGGAGTTCTCAAAGTTGCCCCAAATCACACTGATCCTTTCTGTATTCATATTCTGTGAATAAGATCCATGACATTTAAAGTCCCCTGTAGATTTTAAAGGAAACTGTGTTCTATTTAAGTCTTTTTAGTTCATCAGAAAACAAGCAAACATACTTTTACCAAGTAAATCTGTCCTGAAGCTGAGGATTATGGGACATATAGCTATGCAACTTATCCCTTTACAGTTAATCTGACATTTTTTAAATAGATGATTTTTTTCAAATCCATCACATCAAGTGTTTTTCCAGAAACATGTCTCATTCCTCCAAAAATGCAAGATCAAACTTGTTAGCCAAAATCTCACCTTCATTTAACTGTATAAAGGGTTTTGGGGAAAGAAGGTGTTATTATACCTGATGTGTACATCATAAAGTTTCCAAGTTTTTTCAAGTGTGTGTGTGTGTGTGTGTGTGTGTGTGTGTGTGTGTGTGAAGGACACAGTCCTTCAAAGAATGCAAGCCACTTGTTGGTCAGCACGTCCTGGGGGGGAGTTCACATTAGTCTTTCCCAAGGCAATGGTCAATGGGAATGCTTTCTCAGCGTATGTCAGCATATCGAACCCATATTTAATGCATGTCCATGATTTTATGTTGTAATCCTCTTAGACTCCAAAACTAATCAGGGATAGACTACATTAGCATTAGAGAATTAGAGAGTAGCATAAGAGAATTCTCAGGAAAAAACAGGATACTTGGCAGAGTGGCTAGGCAGCTGACCTTTGAGTCAGAAAGTACCTGGGTTCCAATCCAGCTTTGGATACGTTAGCCATGTGAACATGGGCGAATCACTTAAATTTGAAGTGCCCTTAGACAACTATCTAAGATCATAAATTATACAGTGGAGTAAACAAATGGGGGAAAGTATGGTGATGGTGATAATGATGATGATGAAATCATTTGGCTATAATCCTCTCCCTCAGACCTATATATGTGTGTTTGAGTGTATATGTATATGTGTGTATATTATATGTACATATATTAAAAGTGTGTGTGTTTGTGCGTGTATCCTGGCAAATATACAAAATTATCCAACTTGGTACATTCTGTGTTCCCATGCTTGGATGCTAGAATATAGTCAGAGGTGTTCCCTGCCATTTTAAGGAGACAATTACCCAAATATTGTAAAAGTTTAGGTCGATAGCATCCAAAATGGCAATGCCAGCTTGTTTGCAGCAAATATACAGTGTATAGTCACAACAATGTATGTCACTGCACATTTCTAGAAATAGAAATGTGATATAGCGTAGGTTTTACAATGTTAAATTCCATTAATAAAAAAAAAAAATAGTCCTGTGCCTTCAAGGCTGGAGTTCATTAAACCAACCTAGATAGTTCTAGTGTTGCCAAGTTATGAAGTAATATACCAGGTCAAGTCTCCAACTCCTAATCATTCATCACAGAAAATAGGTTGATTTTTTTTTTTTTTAGGGGTCCCTTTAACAACTTTTAAATGAGATAGTAGCAAATGGGAAGTACATTCAAAGAATAATAATAATGACTGTCATATCATGCTTTGAGGTCTGTAAGACATTTTACAAACATAATACTATTTAAGGTTTACATTTATTCTGTAAGATAGGCACTACAGGTGTTATCATCCCTATTTTACAGATGAAGAAATTGAGACAGTAAATTAAGTGACTTGCCTAAGGGCAAACAACCAGTAAGCCTTAGTGTTGGGTTTTGAACCCAGATTTTCTGACTTCAAGTACAGCAATCCATCTCTGTGCCATATCTCCTTTAAATAAGTGACCATCTAATCTGCAGAAGCAGATTTATCTTTCTCTATCAGTGAATATCGGTGCACCCCAATATTGCTTTATTTCTCCCAGTAACAGTGCTGTATTCTGCCCACTAATCTCTCAAAATATCAGCTTGTTTCAATGGGAAAGAAAAGACAGGTTTCATAGTTTTAGCTGTTTGTTCTATGATGTCACTTGTAAAAATAAGAGTTTTTCCCTTTTCATAGCTCTCTGAAAAAGGGACACCCCTCCTCCTGCCCAGGCTCTCAATATTTAGAACACAGCCAGTGAAGATTATAGAAGAGACAGCAAGGGGTCTGTTTTCTCTAGAGTTCAGTGACCTAGAACTTATCAATAGGAAGTCTGGCCTCCATCTTGTGGGGCTTTGGAAGTAATCTTTTGAAATTCTGTGTTAGTCTTTTGGCAGTACCGTTAGACACTGACTGGTACTGAGCAGAGGGCACGTCCCCCATCAAATTTAACTCCAAACTTCTGAAATTAGCTGCTGTAGAAACCCATAAGCAACAAAGGTGCCTAGAATGCTTCTTTATCTTAGAAATTATTATATTTGACATACACACTCTACAGAAGAAGAAAATAAACAAAAAGTACTTTGGTTTTGTTTCTATTTTTAAAAAATCTACAGGAATCCTTACAGAGTGAGCTGCAGTGGGTACTATTAAATTGAGGCTGCTTCCAGCACGGAATAATATTTTTTTATTTTTTAAAAATCTTAGATTGATTAGACATACCTCCAGGCTATCATTCCATTTTTGAAACCCAAATAATGAATGAAACTAAACATTTTCTTTCTCACAGAGGTCTTTGTTAGCCTTCACTAGCAATTGATCTTGAAATCTGATATGTGTGCTGAAAACAGCCAGCTAGGTGGTTCAGTGGATAGAGCCCTGGGCCTGGAATCAGGAAGACCTGAATTCAAATCTGACCTCAGATACTTACTAGCTGTATGACCTTGGGCAAGTCATTTAACTTCTATTTCTCTTAATCCACTGGAGTAGGAGATAGCAGACCTCTCTAGTACCTTGTCAAGAAAACTACATGGACAGTATGTTCCACAGGACCATGAAGAGTCAGACATGACTGAACAGCAACTGAACATGGAGGCAAACTTTCCCATGCCAGGGATACTTTCTTAGAATTGGCATCCTGATGGAGTTTCTTTGATATTTTTACCAATCTATGATCTCCTCAGTGAGTATTCTCTCAAATAATATGAATTAGAATTCTGGCATCTTCTATCTATGTGCAAATTTTTGTTTTTACCTTAAAACTTTCAGAGAGGAATTACTCAGAAAGCTGATGGCTTTCTCTACTCCCTTTTTTTTTTTAATCTCAAGTGTACCAGTGTATCACATAGCATTTTTTGTTGTTGTCCTCATTCTCACACAGTGACTCTCTCATCTTTTTCATCTAAATATATCCTCTGTGGTGCCTTCACTCTATTACTTACAAGTATTTTTTTTAACCTCATGTGGTTCTCTATTTAGACATCTTTTATTTTGATAGTTCTTTATGCTCTTCAAAGAGCTTTTATATCTATTTCCTTATTTTATCCTCCTGCTTGGATGTCTCATCTTGGCATGGAGATGACTTTGGTTTCTCAAAGCTTATGCAAGCAGAGAGTGACAAGTTCTGCCATGGTAGAAATGCTTCCAGTATGTCTTAACACCAGACTGAATCTGACTTCTGAG